ATGTTAAGTTCAATAAATCCTTAACACAAAATATCCAGGAAATATGGGACACTGTAATAAGATCAAACCTAAGAATAATAGGTATACAAGAAGTTGAAGAAGTCCAGGTCCAAGGCACAGAAAAATACATTTAATAAAATCATAAAAGAAAATTTTCCCAACCTAAAGAAGGACATACCTATGAAGTACAAGCTTACAGAACACCATTAGACTGGACAAAAAAAAGTCCCCTTGCCACATAATAATCAAAACACTAAACATACAGAATAAAGAAAGAATGTTAGCAGGTACAAAGGAAAAAGACCAAGTAATATATAAAGGCAGACCTATCAAAATTACACCTGACTTCTCAATGGAAACTCTGAAAGCCAGAAAGTCCTAAATAGATGTTCTACAGACACTGAGAGACCACAGATGCCACCCCAGACTACTATAACCAGCTTTCAATTACTATAGATAGAGAAAAAAAGGTATTCCATGACAAAACCAAATTTAAACACTACATATCCACAAATCAAGCCCTACAGAAAGTACCGGAAGGAAAACTCCAACCCAAGGAAGTTAGCCACACCCACAAAAACATAGGAAACAGATAACCCCTCATTACCAAAAGCCAGTAAAAGGGGAAACACAAACACAATAGCATCAACAAATCAAAAAATAATAGGTATAAACAATCAATGGTCATTAATATCACTTAATATCAATTGGAGAGTGCAGCCTACCCGCCAGCCTGGTTCCAGAGCCACATCAGTCCCAAATAAACATGCAGGAGGATATATTAATTATGAAGCTGATGGCCGTTTGCTTGTATCTTACTGGCTAGCTCTGACTTAAGTATTTAACTCATAATTGTTAATTTAAAGAAAAAGTGGTACATTTACACAATGGAATACTAATCAATGGGGAAAAATGCAACCTTGAAATTTGCAGGCAAATGGATGACACTAGAAGAAACCATCCTGAGTGAGGTAACCCAGTCACAAAAACACAAACATGGTATGTACTCACTCATGTATCTATTTTAGACTTGGAGCAGTGAATTGCTAGCCTACAATCCCACTATGAGAGAATCTGGGAAACAGAGAAGACCTTAAGAGAGATATGCATGGCACTCCAGAGAAAGAGAATGGGACAGGATCTCCTGAGAGGATTTGGAGCATGTGGGGAGGGGAGAGGGAGCAGGGAGAAACAGAGAGGGAGAAGAGGGGGAAAGAAGGACATGCAGGAGCAGGAAGGTTGAATCCAGGGAAGAATAGAGACCAGGATAAGAGATACCTTAATAGAGGGAGCCATTATAGGTGTGAGGAGAGATCTGGAAGTAGGGAGATTTCCAGAGATCTACAAGGATGACACCATCTGTCAATCTAAATAATTGTGTAGAGACTACCTTGAAAGCCCTTCCCCAGTAATGAAATTGACGAATACTTTATATGCTGTCCTAGTGCCTTCATCTAGTGGCTGATGGAAGCAGAGGCAGACACCAACTGCTAAACACTGAACTGAACTCCCGGAACCCAGTTGTGGAGAGGAAGGAGTGAAGACCAAAGGGGTCAAGACCAGGCTATTGAAACCGACAGAAACAGTTGACCTGAACAAGGGGGAGCTCATGGACTCCAGACTGATGGCTGAAAGGCCAGCATGGAACTTATCCAGACCCCCTAAATTTGAGTGTCAGTGAGGAGGCTTTGGGTAGTAGATCAGTATTTATCCCTGGCACCTAAATGGACTTTGGGAGCCCATTCCACATGGAGGGATGCTCTCTAATCCTGGACACAAGATGGAGGGCCTAGGCCCTGTCCCAAATGATATGACAGATTTTGGAGATTCCCTCATGGAGGGCCTCACCCTCCCTGGGAAGTAGAGTGGGTTTGGGTGGGTGGCAGGGGAGGAGGGGGAGAGAGAGGGAGCTGAGATTAACACATGAAACAAGCTTGCTTCTAATTTACACAAAATATTTTTTAAAGTATCATACAGAGACTGGCAAAATGTAATGTACTAATTAATAAATACATCAGTACACCTTCCCTTCAATATGTTTGCAGTAATATCAAGTTGACAAAAATAGAATTAACATTTAACTCTGGACCAATTGTACCCAATAGACATCTGAAAAATTATATCTAACAACTGCAGAACACATGTTCTTCTCAAAAACATGAAGGAGATTCTGAAGGATAGATCATATTGTAGATTCAAAACAAGTCACAGCTGATTTTTAAAGAATTCAATTATGTCACTCAGCTTTCCTGACCAGAATTCCATAAAATCCCAAATAAACAAGGGCAAAAGCAATGAGCAACCACTAGATTAAGGAAGAAAGTAAAAGATTTTATATTTTTCTTCACACCTTACATCAAAATTTATGGAGCTATATCACAAACAATTCTAAGAGGGGAGATTATAATCTCAATGTTTACCTGAAAACAAAAACTCTGTTAAAGAACCAACCTATCAAAGTATCTTAAGAAGTTAATTATAAACATAAATACATATTGTCTATATAGAAGTTTACTTGCTGTTGCTTGTTTTGAAGTGGCAACAGACAGACTACATCAGCGGTCAGAAAGAGTCCATGTGGAGAAGATTGCCTAGCCAAACAATTCCTTTTTTGTAGAGAAATGAAGACAGGGTGGGACAGATATGATATCAGGACAATAAATACCTCAGCTATATATTCTCCTGTGTTCTCTTTGTTTTCCATCATTGACTTTCTCAATCCAAACTCTAGAGATCAATATATTACATTATAGTCAGATTCACAGTAATGGATGTTGGAACTAAATCAATCATGCTGTTAACATTTGTGTCCACTCTTATTCAGTGTGGTCTATTTAGTGTCCTACTCTACCTCTTTAAGTAGACACTGCTATAGTCTCCCACTTAGTGAGACAGTCAAGGCTGAACTCATGAGCCAAGATCACCAGACAGTTTGGCAGAGATAAGACAAGTAACTGTTATTTCTTTTATTGAAATGTATTTGTGAATGAGTTATTCATTGAACAAAAGTTATTATTAATTGTTAGACTAAATGTACTTTATTTTCCTTGGTTGAAACCAGTGAAATATTAAGAAAACTACTGTTTTTGGAGAATCAGATTTCAGGAATGAAACTGGCTTTATTGCCTACTAAATGATTTTCAAGAAGACATCCCAAATAACTTTTCCCCAACTTAGACCACACTTGAAGCTTTTCATTGTTATCTTATGTTCTGGAAGCAAACCCATATCTCATTACATGCCGTATTACATCAGTTTTTCCAGACACAGAGATAAAAAATATTTAAAAATCTCTAGAGAATTCATTACTCACTACACTTGAATTGTGTGTTGGTGGAATTGCAGAAAGGAATTGGAAAGAAACACAAATGGAAATGTTGGCACTTTCAGGGTTGCAGCCTCTCTCCTGCATGTATCCTGATTCCTCTCTAAGGACTATAGGAAGCTTTATTAAGTCATCCTGTTTGCTTTCAGAGTTGGAACACTCACTCATGGTGAAAACAACTCTTCTACAAAGTACATGAGATCAGGGGAAATTAAAAGAGGTGTTTGAAAGAAAGCACAGAAGGGATGCTGCGAAGCAAAAGGAAGGAGGGCAAGCATCAGAAGAGTGAAGAGAATAGAAAAGACCCAGCGAGCTCTTGGTAAAAAGTTCTCAACTCAATTACATAACCCTTTGTGAGTCTCTCTCTCTTCTCTTCTCTTCTCTTCTCCTCTCTCTCTCTGTCTCTCTCTGTCTCTCTCTGTCTCTCTGTCTCTCTGTCTCTCTGTCTCTCTCTCTCTCTCTCTCTCTCTCTCTCATAGTCTTCTACCATGCAACTTAAACTAGAAAAAAATTCAAAAGCAGGCCTTACCTAAGATACCCCAGACTTCCAATTCAGGTAGCATCTTGTCCATGCACTTGTCTACATGAGGCAAAGGACTATTTTAGATATAACACAGGAAGAATTTCAGAATGAAGTTGAATTTTCAATAAACAACCTTAAAACTCATGTCCTAACCCAAATACCATTAACTTTTCAATATATTCTTATATATCAGAATCTCAAATCCACTGTGCAAGTATCTTAGACTTTCAAATCTATAAAGCAATCCTGTAAACTCCAACATCCATTTGTTAGGAAGATGCTGGAAGCCATGCCATGCTTATGTGGGTAAGTTTGAAATTGCAATGTCAGAAGCAATAGAAGTTAGACTGTCAAAATCAAACAAAGCTACAGTGTGAAGGGTTGTAAGTAGCAGTCACTAGCAAATGTAGAAATATGGGAACTTCAGATTGCTAATGTGGCTTCATGCACTCACAGTTTGCTGAATTTCCTAGGATTTTATTTGCCCACTACGTGGGGAAGCTTTTCCTTTCAGAATTGACACTGGGCTGAATACAATATATGTCATGTAGTCCACAGTATCAGAGGAGCTTCATGGTAGAGAAAAAGTTTAAAAGGTGATGCGTATCTTGATATGGATCATTCATATGTTGGGTCATCATCATGTGACAAAGAGATGAGATTGACCTATCTCATTTCTTTTTTTTTCTTTCTTTTCTTGGTGTGGTGTTATTTTTTCACTGTTAATTTCAGGTTAATATGAAAAGTGATGAGTTTTTTATCTGCAAGGTGATTCACTTTCTTCTCCAGTTAATTCCAACATCTGATATTATATGATTGTATTTTACTACCTTCTTCAGTCTCCCCCTTTCCTTAAGATCTCCTTTCCCTCTCAATATCAGAGGGAACTTTAATTGACTTGCCTTGGGGAAGCTAAAGAGAAGGTCTTGATGACAGCAAAGGACACAATTTACTTTAATGCTAACTGATAATAAAATGGAGATGATGAAGTAGAATGTAGACTGGCTTGAGAAGTGGTTGTATATAAGTGCTGATGTTTTGTTGTTGTTGCACTTATTCCCTGTTCTTCCCTAACACAGATCCTGCCCTTGTCAATGCCTCCCCCGTAACAGAATAACTGTAGAATCGGATTGTGCTCTAAACGTCAGTGCAATGGCAACCTCAAATTCCAGCAGCATCATGTCCTCTACATTCTACCTGACAGGCATCCCCGGCTATGAGGAATTTCACCACTGGATTTCAATCCCTTTCTTCCTCCTCTACACTGTTGGAATAATAGGCAACTGCATGATCCTGCACATTGTACGCACTGATCCCAGACTCCATGAGCCCATGTATTACTTCCTGGCTATGCTTTCACTCACTGACATGGCCATGTCCCTGCCCACAATGTTTTCACTTTTTAGGGTGTTGTGGTCCATTTCACAAGAGATCCAGTTCAATATCTGTGTGGGCCAAATGTTTCTGATTCATACCTTTTCCTTCACTGAATCATCTGTGCTCCTGGCCATGGCTCTTGACCGGTATGTGGCCATCTGTCACCCCCTGAGATATGCTACCATTCTCACCCCAAAACTTATTGCCAAGATTGGAATTGCAGCTCTGCTTAGGAGTTCTATTTTGATAATTCCACTTATGGCCCGTCTAGCATTCTTTCCCTTCTGCCATTCCCATGTTCTTTCTCATTCCTATTGTCTGCACCAAGACATAATCCGACTTGCCTGTGCTGACATCAGATTTAATATCATATATGGGCTAGTCCTCATTACTTTTCTGTGGGGCCTGGATTCCCTGGGCATTTTTGTATCTTACGTTTTTATCCTTCACTCAGTGTTAAAAATTGCATCCCGTGAGGGTAGATTTAAGGCACTCAACACATGTGCATCCCACATCTGTGCTGTGCTCATTCTGTATGTGCCCATGATAGGATTATCTATTGTCCATCGTTTTGCCAAACATTCCTCTCCCCTTATCCACATCTTCATGGCTCATATCTACTTATTGGTTCCACCAGTGCTTAACCCCATCATCTATAGTGTGAAGACCAAACAGATCCGCCAAGGAATCCTCCATCTGATTTGTTCTCCCAAAATCAGCTCTATCACAATGTAGGTGTGTCACCAAGACAAGAAAGGCATCAGCACTTGCCATGTGAATCCTCATAAATTGTCTGCTCCGGAGTGGTCAACAAAAGACTAGATAGATTAAAAAGCAGAAACAAGTCAACAAAGCACCACAAAGAGGCTGTGAAGGAGCATGCTGCTCTCCACTGTATCAGAAAGCCTGATTTCACATTTGCTTTATAAATCATCAGTTACAGATATGTTTCAGAGCAGTATATTGGTAATTGTTTCTGCTTATTCTCTCCCACTTCCATCTCAAATTCCATCCATGAATATAATGATATCATATTACTTTTGATATTATATAATATGTATCATGGAGTCTTAAGATACCTTATTTTTCTATAATTATTATGTGTGTGAATGTGCTTAAAGGTAGTGAATTGCTATCTTAGAGTCGACCAATATTCATGCTCCTTAGCATCAAAGTCAAATATTTATATACTCATCTCTTCCCTGAGGATGGAGAAGAAAGATGCAACCTCAAATTTTTGTAATTTAATCTTGTTTTGTTTTTTTCTTTTTTTGTCTAAGACCAAGCCTAAGCCTTGGTGCATTTAAATAAACTCTTTTACCAGTGAGTTATTCCTTCAGCCTAATAATTTTAATGTTAAAGAAAAAAAGAGTTATTTTTTGACCATTTTCTAATAGTTACATGATTATGTGAGACTGTTATAACTCATTGAATTAAATATCCTAATAATAATTTATATATTAATATAATTAATATCAAGATAATAACTACTAATGATAACATTTTTTAAATGGCAATAACTGAAATGTAAGATCTTAGATGTTGTGTTAGCAAGAAACAGATAACCTGGGCCTTTTAATATTCACCTAGACTTCTTTTCAATGTATAAAGCCATTATTCATTATAGTTTTGAAGTTATTTGGTCTGCAGTTAGTACATAGAGTCGGATAATAACACTTTCAAGATTAATGGGGCTTTCTTAGGTCATGTGTCTACACTAGCAACAATAGGTATACAATCAAGCAAACAACCAGATGGAAAGATAAGTTAAGACTCAAGTGTGTCTGTGTCCCCTATATAGTGATATATCTCAAAAATAGATAATGCATTCTCACACACATTTTTCTAACTATTAAATAGGAATTGTGGCAATTGAATTGTGATTGTTATGAGGACTTAAAGTTGTGTATAAAATAATTTTGAAATAAATTAGTCCTTGGAAAAAGAATGGCTCATTTGTATATTCATATATATATGTATATATATATATTTGTCAAGAGACCACATTGTAAAACATAAAATTCTGTTTAATAATTTAAAGTTAAAATGTTCAAATTATAAGCATCTGATGTCATTGTGAAAAAAATCCACAAACTATTGTTTGCACCTTAACTTTGGCTTGATTCTGTTTACCGTATTTATTCTTTTTTTTCCTCATTTGTTCAAATTTTTGTTTATTTACTCATTTTATATCTGAACTAAAGTTTCCTATCCCTCTTCTCCCATTTCCTTCCTCCCCTACTCTTCTTCTACCCCTCTCCCCATCCATTCCTCCTCTATTTTCAGAAAGGGACAGGTCCCCCATAGATAGCAACAAAGCATGGAAAATCAAGTTTCGATGAGACTAAGAACCTTCCCTTGTGTTAAGGCTGAACAAGGCAACCCAGTATGAGGAATAGGTTTGCAAGAGCAAGCCAAAGCATTAGGGACAGTCCCTGCTCCCATTGTTAGAAATCCCATAAGAAGACCAAGCAGCATAACTATCACACATATGAGGAGAGAAGGTTACCTTATATATTCTTACCTTGGGCCTATTTATTACCCTATCCTGAAACACACACATTTTGACAAATGGAATATAAAATAAAGCAAGAAATATGGGTATCAAATGTAATGATTTACTTTATAATATAATATGTCTTTAAAATAAATTTGACTTCATGAAAGTATTTTTTAAAATGTCTATGGATGTTTGTCTACAAGCACTGTTATGCACCACATGAATAACTTGTGCCCACTGAGGCCAGAAGAGGGTATAGGATCCCCTGGAGCTGGATTTACAGATAGTTTTAGCAACCATCACTATTCTGGGAATAAAACCTGGGTCCTCTGCTAGAACAGGAAGTACTCTTTTTGTTTTGTTTTGTTTTGTTTTACCAGTCAGGATTTCTCTGTGTAATAGTCCTAGCTATCTTGGAACTCATTTTGTAGACCAGGCTGACCTCAAACTCACAGAGATCCACCTGTCTTTGTGTCTTGAGTGCTGGGATTAAATGTGTTCTCCACTACCGTTGGTCCTGCAAAAGTCCTCTTAACTGATGAGCCATCTCTCCAGTTCCTTTAAGGATAACATTTACAAAGAATATGAGCATCACACATTCATCAATAACATCTTACAGTCATATAAGTGACAGCTTCAAAGGCAAAGTTATTGTTAAAATATGTATATTGGATACATTGAATACAGACAAACGGTATATATTGAAATTACTTCACAGTAGGATGGTACAAGGTCAAAATAATGGCAAATGGAAATCTTGTTTTCATTTTATTTTCAAATTAGTTTTTATTTAAATTATAAACAAGCCTGCTTCACATGTCAATCCCAGACCCCTCCCCCTCCTCTCTTCCCCTGACCCTTACTAAGACCCCCCATCCCCCTCCGCTCCTCAGGGAGGGTGAGGCCCGCCATGGGGGATCCCAAACGTCTGTCATATCATTGGGGTGAGGCCTAGGCCCTCCAAAATGTATCTAGGTTGATAGAGCATTGCTCCACGTGGAATGGGTTCCCAAAGTCCACTCGTACCCTGGGATAAATACTGACCTACTACCAGAGGTCCCATAGATGGCCAAGGCCTCCTCACTGACACCCACATTCAGGGGGTCTGGATCAGTCCCATGCTGGCCTCACAGCCATCAATCTAAGGTCTATGAGTTCCCCCTTGTTCAGGTCAGCTGTTTCTGTGGGTTTCACCAGCCAGGTCTTGACCACATTGGTCACTCCTCCTCCTCTGCAACTGGCTTCCAGGAGTTCAGTTCAGTGTTTAGCTGTGGGTATCTGCCTCTGCTTCCATCAGCCACTGGATGAGGCTTTAGGAAGGGCATTTAACATAGCATCTACACTATTGCTTAGATTGCCTGTTGGTGTCATCCTTGTAGGTCTCTGGAAATCTCCCTGAAATCTACAATGGCTCCCTCTATTATGGTTTTGGTTAGCATTTCCCTGATGGCTAAGGATGCTGAGAACTTTCTTAAATGTCTCTCAGCCATTTTAGACTCCTCTATTGATAATTCTCTATTTAGTTCTGTAGCCCAATTTTTAATTGGATTATTTGTTAGTTTGGAGACTTGCTTCTTGAGTTCTTTGTAAATTTTGGAGATCAGCCCTCTGTCAGATGTGAGGATAGTGAATATCTTTTCCCATTCTGTAGGCTGCCTTTTTGTCTTGTTGACTGCGTCCTTTGCCTTACAGAAGCTTCTCAGTTTCAGGAATTTAATAATTGTGAATCTCAGTGTCTGTGCTACTGGTGTTAAGTTCAGGAAGTGGTGTCCTGTGCCAATTTGTTCAAGGGTTCCTCCTACTTTCTCTTCTTACAGCTTAAGTGTGTTTATGTTGAGGTCTTTGATCCATTTGGACTTACATTTTGTGTATGGCATTAGACACGGATCTATCTGTAGTCTTCTACATGCCAGCATTCAGTTATGCCAGTACCATTTGTTGAAGAAGGTTTCTTTTTTCCATTATATAAGTTTAGTTTCTTTGTCAAAAATCAGGTGTTTGTAGGTGTGTGTGTGTTAATATCAGGGTTTTCAATTTGATTCTATTGGTCTACCTGTCTATTTTTGTGAAAATTCCAAGCTGTTTTCAGGACTATAGTTCTATAATAGAACTTGAAGTCAGGGAAGGTGATGCCTCCTAAAATTCATTTATTGTACGGGATTGTTTTAGTTATCCTGGGTCTTATGTTTTTCCATATAAAGTTGATTTCTGTTTTTCAAGCTCTGTGAAGAATTGTGCTGGTATATTGATGGGGATTGCATTGAATCTGTAGATTATTCTTTGCATGCTTGCCATTTTTACTATGTTGATCCTACCTATGCAAGAGCATGAGAGATCTTTCCAGTTTCTGGTGTCTTCTTTAATTTCTTTCTTTAAAGACTCAAAGTTCTTGCCTTACAGTTATTTCAGCTGTTTGGTTAGCATTACCCCAAGATATTTTATGTTGTTTGTGGCTATTATAAAGGGTGATGTTTCTCTGATTTCTTTCTCAATCCATTTTTTGTCTGTACATACTAGGGCTACTGATTTTTTTAGTTACTCTTGTATCATGCCACTTTGCTCAAGGTGTTTATCAGTTGTAGGAGTTCCCTGGTAGAGTTTTTCAGGTCACTTATGTAAACTATCATATCATCTGCAAAGTGAAAGCTTGACTTCTTCCTTTCCAATTTCTAGCCCCTTGATCTCCTTTTGTTGTCTTATTGCTCTATCAAGAACTTCAAGTACAATATTGAAGAGATATGGGGAGAGTGAACAGCCTTGTCTTGTTCCTGATTTTAGAGGAATTGCATTGAGTTTCTCTCCATTTTGTTTGACATTGGCTGTTGGTTTACTGTATATTATATTCAGGTAAGTTCCTATTATCCCCGATCTCTCCAGGACCTTTATCATGAAGGGGTGTTGGATTTCGTCAAAGGCTTTTTCAGCACCTAGTGAGATGATCACGTGGTTTTTCTTTTGCAGTTTGTTTATATGGTAGACTACACTGATAGATTTTCATATGTTGAACCATCCCTGCATCTCTGGGATGAAGCCTACTTGATCATGGTGGACAATTTCTCTGATGTGTTCTTGGATCGATTTGCCAGTATTTTTGTATCAGTGTTCATAAGGGAGATTGCTTTGTAGTTCTCTTTCTTAGTTGTGTCTTTGTGTGGCTTGGGTACCAAAGTAATTGTAGCCTCATAAAAAGAGTTTGGTAATGATCCCCTGCTTCTATTGTGTGGAAGATTTTGAG